GAAGCATGATATGCTGACCAAGCGATCTTATCATCACTTTCTAAAACTTCCTTCTCCAGCAGTTTGATAGAATTTTCAATCCAGCACTCTTCTTGATTAACTGCCATGTGAAGAAAATTATTATGATTAGCAACTATGTCATTAGGTGGTTTGGGAACAGATATGTCATCCTTTTTATTGCTACGGGAGGTACTACAGTATAATAATCAGGTAGTGCATATTTTTTCGAGCTATCAGTAGGAGGAGCTTCTCCTGACAAGTGCCTTGGTTTACCACTGTTGGTGATTGAAACAAACTGATACCTAATTATATGTGTAATTTTGAGAAAATAAAAATTAATTTACCTGTTCCATGAAATGATCCTTTTGCTGTTGTGCTTGATGGATTGTGGTCTTTGTTATCTAAGGCAGCAATTGTGAATACTCCTTTTCGTAACTGTGAGGGACAAACCACACCCTTCAAATTGAAGTCCTGGCAAACGGAGTCAGCTAACTCATTATTTACTTGTAAAACCCTGTCATAGCTTACACTTAAACCCAATTGCTGCAGTTCCATTACTAAATTTTTAGATCTTGTGAGTGTGTGAACACTGGTGTTTCAAACTTGATGGAGTGTCGAGTGTGTAAAGTAGATGATTTCTTTTGTTTGCAATTGTATAGTATTGTTTGAGCAACAGTTAAACATGTCTATGGAAAATTAAATCACAGTTAATGTACACATTACTAATTTTACATTACCTGAGAGTAACCTTTGTTCTGATCTTGAATATCACCACCTGTAATTATCATATTGGTTAATAATTTGAGTGAGTGTGGTACACATTCACTCTGACAATCATCACGAAATGAATAATTGAATGGGAACCATTTGGTAGACTGGGAAAAAATTTCTTTACGAATTATATTAGCAGTTTTCTGTAAAATTAATGTGTCTTCTTGAAAAGTACAATCTTGAGATTTGAGAAGCAGTTCTTGAATTGCACTATCAAATACCAATAATGAATTTTTTCCATCACTTTGCTCTTGAGCATTCACAAAATGAGATAACACCTTTTTAAAATGTGTTTTATTCATTTCTTTGCATATCCCAAGATCACGTAGTCTATCTTCATACATGTGGCAAAGGTCATAAAACTTAACTAACATTCCATTTTCCATACTCTTCTAAATGAATGTTATAAGCTCAACTAACACTCTAGCTTCTACCCTACTGTTGTCATTTGAACTACTCCCGGTTATCTTTTGTCGAATAAAAGTACGATGACGGTTTCGAATCTTAGGCAATCAAAGTGATATTTGGCTTCTTACGCTGTGAGAGCTCCACCTTGAATACAAGCCAACGACGCAGTATCCTGTAGGTCTGTAGCCAATTTCCTCACATTACTATCAGCATCTAGTGTCATAAACTCATGTAGTATTCCATCATTTGTTTCACAAAAAATACATTTCAACTTTTCCAAATTTTGTCTTTGTAAACGAGGTCGTTTTGGTTCAATACTATCTCTAGTTGGACTGCTAAGGACAGATCTTTTCTTTGCTCTTTGTAATTTACTTTCATTAAATTTTAGATGACATGATTTGTGCTACTTAGATTTATTTGTGACTAATTGTGTAACATCTATTTCTTCTCCAAAAATAAGTTGTACAGGCACTTCTTTCAGCTCTCTGAATTTTTTGACACTGGTCAGAAATGTCTCATAGGCTTGTGACTTGTCTTCTACATTACTACTGGCATTCAGAGGACATCTAAGTGTTTCTTTTGTAGACTTTTGGCATATAATACACTTATTCCAGTCCATTTTAATGACATGTGACTGTAATTCTAGTTAATGCACTGCTGAAAGTAAGTGATAACAGCTGCAGATGCATATTTTTCACTTTTATTTACACCTTCTGAGCAAATTTTTGGCTTCTTTTGAAAAGAAATTAAATTTTGTGATAATTACAAAAGGAAGCTATTTTTTAGATGGCTCCTACCTTATAACTGAAGTTAAACACAATAACCAAGCAGAAAAAAAGCTCATGCTTCTGTCCACTTGTTCCCCTTTCCCTCCTTTTTTTGGACTAAGCCACTACACTAGTAAGTACATGTACATGTATGTGTACATGTAAAGGTGCATGTAATGCATTAAGTATAACATGCATTTGTGTGTAATCCCTGCTCACTTAAAGTAGTCTAGCTGCTCCATCAGTCATAGCCAGGGGACAAAATGACAGACAGATCAAGAATACATGTAACTGCCTGAACTGGTGGAGTTGCCTAGAAATTAACATTAATAACACTGTCTCAGTACTTTAATCATATTATTATATGGCTGATAACTGTAGAGGGATGCTAAGTTATATACCAATGGTACTGTGACACCGCTGTTGTCATTTACTAATTGACAATTTTAGAACATCCATTTGGATTTGGTTGGTCCACTTCCTCATTCAGAAGGATACACCTATTTTTCACTATTGTCGATCGTTGTGGCCTGAAGTAATTTCTCTTACTGATACTATGGTAGCCATTGCTTTCCTTACTTCATGGGTATCCAGTTTTGGTGCCTTAACTACTGTTACCACTGATCAGGGTCGACAATTTGCATCTCACCTTTGGTCTAATCTAATGAAGCTGTTAGGTTCTCATCAGATTCGAACAACTGCTTGTCATCCATTATGGTCGAACGTCTTCATAGGCAACTGAAAGCCGCTATTAAAGCTCTTTCTTCACCCACTCACTGGACAGCAGGTCTCCCTTTTTATCTGAGTATTCAAACTGCTATCAAGGAGGATATTGGGTACAGCTCTCCTGAATTTGTTCATAGTTCACTCCATCTCTCTCTCACACTCAATTTGTTCATACAACTTTTATCAAAAAGTCAAAACATCTCCATCAGTGATGTACTCTCTACATGTACTCATGTCTTTGTTCAACATGATGCTGTCCATACTTCTTTGCAAGAACCATATGACAGACCATACCAAATTTTTAAACGTAGTGACAAACATTTTACTCTTTATGTCGACGGTAAACATCAGGTTATCTCTTTAGATCGTTTGAAACCTGCCTACAATGAACACTCCTTCACTTCTTTCGTCTTATGCTCCCCCAAACTCGAATCCTCCATCTACTCACAATGACAATACTCCGCATCGTATTCCTATTAATACTTCTCCTATCACTCCACAATCTCATAAATGGACCACTCACTCTGGTTGTTGCATTCGATGGCCTGATCGTCTGAATGTCTTCTTTTAATTTTCGTTCATGGTTCATTCACTGGTGTGAGAGTAATGTATTCTTAATGTACTTTAATAATAATTTACAACTAATAACTTAACTTTAATTTAATAACCACATGCACTACTATTTCAGGAAGAACCCAATTTTCATTCAGTTTGATTTAGTCTAGTCTATTAGTCTGCAGTTTAAATTCTCGAACACTTATCTTGAAATTCTCATCACTCAACATCCTTTCGATCTATCAGACTCTCATCTGACTCTTATTTAATTTTCTCAACTACCTGAATCGCTGAGTCAACAAACACACATATCTTGCTCCCATACATATTGTGCTTATTAATTTCATTATTATTAACATTCACTGTCTCTTCCACTCTAATTCTCATCTGTTATTATTAATTGTGTTAACACATACATTTACAGATAAGTTTTGTCTGATTATTAACAACTCAACACCAGTAACGAAAGAAGTGTAATATCAAGGTAAGCAGCCAAGTTAATAGTTACTTGTATATCCTTACAGGCACACTAGATGAAGTAACTCTATTTTTCAGTATGGCCTAAAAGATAACTGTTTCTATGGTGATAACAGATCCATTTTTAATCCGCATTCTGAGCATGCGCTATTGTTCATTATGATGCCCCTGATGAAATTTTTGCTGTCTTATCATCTCTTGATACATGGCCTCCTATGCAATTCAATTAAATTTGAGTCTTAAGAACCTGTCTGTGACTTCAGTGCTTCTTTGCATGTCAGTCGTGATGGCTTCATCAATTCAAGAAAGCCAGAGTGAGAATGAAGCCGACCCTTCAATTTCAGAAAGTTCACAGAAGAGTAAAACGAGAATGAAGGCTGCAAAAAAAGCTGCATCAAAATCAAAATGGGAGGATACTCAAGATACCGTACAGCAGGAAATATTTGCGGGGAATTAAATTTTGCGGGTTTGCGGTGAGACTGAAAATCGCAAATATTAAATCCGTAAACTATTATTTTTTATGAAGGGCGGTTACAAATAATTATTAATAAAGGGCGGATCGCCCACCCACTCGATGCAGGCTCATGCACATGCAGCTGAGAGAACTTAGAGAAGAACCAGAAAATGTCCATTTTGACTTACTTTACCAAGGCTCCAACTCAGGCACCGCCATTATTACTTACAGAGAAGGAAGAGAAGACTATAGATAAGGCTTTGGAAGATAGAAAAGTTAGTGCAGAGTCGGTGAAAAGCCACAGAGGGCCATATAATTCATATACACCAGAACAAAGAGGCAAAATTGGTAGATATGCTGTACTTAATGGACCAGTTAGGGCAGCAAAGCATTTTTCAAAGCTCCTTGGTAGCACCATTAATGAGTCAACAGCTAGGAAGTTTAAGAAGGAGTATTTGGAGAGATTAACAGAACTCAGCAAAAAAGGAGATTGTAGTTCTGCTGAAATTTTTTTACCCACAAAGCTACAAGGTCGCCCTCTACTTTTTGGAAAGGAGTTAGATACCTTAACACAAGATCATATCAGAAAGCTTAGAAGTAAAGGCACTGTGATAAATGCACATGTAGTGAAAGCCCTTGGTGAAGGTATCTTACTTGCTAAAGCTCCCTACAAATTAGTGTCTAATGGAGGTGACATAGAAGTTACAAAAGCATGGGCCAAATCACTTTTGGCCAGAATGACATACAGTAAACGGAAAGGTACTAATGCTGGGAAAGTATCAGTGGCACATTTTGAGGAGCTAAAAAAATTCTTTCTGGCCGACATTTGAGCTGAAGTGGTGATGAATGATATACCAGATGAATTAATACTAAACTGGGATCAGACCCCTCTTCGTTTAGTACCAACTGGTGATTGGACAATGCACAAATCAGGAGAGAAACTAGTGCCAATTGCCAAACTAGATGATAAAAGACAAATCACAGGTGTCTTTGCTGTGTCATTAGCAGGCACTTACTTGCCACCTCAGTTAATCTATACTGGAAAAACGGAGCGATGTCATCCAAAAAGAAAGATGCCTGATGGGTGGGATATTTGGCATTCTGAAAACCACTGGGCAAATGAAGAGACTACAAAGAGATACATTACTAAACTCATTCTTCCGTATATCGATTTTATAAGAGAGAAGTTAAAATTAGAGAAGACACACACTGCACTGGTGCTATATGATGTGTTTAAAGGTCAGACAACACCAGCTATAAAGAGGTTGCTTGCTGATAACCACATATCAGTTGTAACAATACCACCTAATTGCACAGACAAACTGCAGCCACTTGATATCTCTATAAACAAGCCATTTAAAGATGCTCTCAAAGCACAGTTTCATTTGTGGTATGCAAATGAAGTACAAAAGCAATTGAATAATGGGTCATTAGACGACATTAATATTGATACATCAATGACAGCAATCAAAGGTTTGAGTGCAAGTTGGATTATACATGCATGGGATAGTATTGAGCAGCGACCTGATATGGCTATTAGTGGCTTTGATAAAGCTGGAATTAAGAGTGCATTAATAAGTTTAAGAGATTAAATAAGAAACAAACAAACATTAACTAATCATTATTATAAGTATTGTTATTACTATAACTATTTAAGGAAACATTAAAAAACTAGTTTGTTCAAAACACTGTTGTAAATGTAGTCGCATTCTTTGCTGTACATAGTTTCCTGGCTGATGCAATAGAAGTAATGAGACACAGTTAGCAATTGCATATAGACCACAATCATTGAATCCTTTCTGCTTTGCTGCAACTTTAACTTCGTAAGTAATATCATTACCAAACAATCTATGAAGCAAAGTTGTAGTTGCTTCATTGAGATCTGTGTACAATGAATCATATATTATAACATGACTGGGCAAACTGCCTATTGTAGTAAATACTATCTAATGATTACCTCTGGTGTGCACAATTTGAATGAAATTAACAGGATTAACTGGTGCAGTTGCAACCACATTCAAAGTGGACTTTAGTCCATTTACTAAAGGAAACTGCTTCTTCAGAATTTCTTGAGCGAAGTCAATGTGTTTGTCTGATAAATTATTACCTAAAGTGATGAGAGCTCTGTCCTTTTCTGTCAGATATTTACCATTTAAGGCAAGCCAATTAACCTGTGTCGGCTCTTTGTCAGTTGAATCAGGATATTTGTCAAGATTGACTTCATTAGCCTCATCGTTTGCTGTAACATTAACTTTTCTCTTCTTACTAGCAGGTTGCTCTGGTGCTTCAGGTGTTGCAATAATCAGCTTTTTTATTTTTGATATAGCTACCTTTTTGCCTTTGAAGACTAACTTACAAGGCACCTCTAGGCCACCTTGTGGAGGATCCCATGAATGCTGCCTCTTTCCAATGATGATACATGTTATTGAGCTACCTTCTTTGGCCAAAAAAAGTGAGCATGCTGCTGATATTTTTCTAGGTATGTGCCCAACTATTGACTGTTCCTTCATCATAGCAACAGCATAAGGGTCTTCAGGATTGTTAATCTCCCTTTCACAAATCAGAGACTCACCAACAGATGGACTCCATATATCCTTGTAGATATGGTATCCTCTTACACAGCTGTTTACTTCATAAGAATCCATGTTTAGTTTATATAAACACGTGGTTAGAGGCATGCGCAGTAATAATTAATGAATCTCATTACCAGTCAATGACAAATCGCAAAATTTAAATCTGCAAAATGTTGAATTTTGACCAAATCGCAAAATTTTTCTCCGCAAAATTAACCTGCTGTACGGTATTAGGATTGTGATGTCACACTGTGAATTCTCGCAATTTGAGAAAATGTGCTTCTGGTCAAAAGGTCGCTCCTCTAATACAATCAAGTGAATCACCAGAACTTGATCATTTTGAACATTGCCATTTGGTCCTTGTAAAGAATTATGCATTGATAATGAGGGGTTTCCATCAGTGAAATACACTTTTTTTTTCATCTCACTAACCACCTCGGTGATGATTTTAACCTGAGAAAATATTCTGTGATGAAAATGGAGCTGGATGAAAGAAGAAACAAAATGTCAGATTAAACTGTTATGAAATTAAGGAACAGACGAACTGTATTGGTGTGCTAATTGAAATTTGGTTTAAGTGAAGAAGTTTTAGTTTTATAACATGAGTTTTCACAGCTCTTGAATGAAGTTCCATATGATTATGACACCGGTACAAAAAGTCATTGGAATCCTTACAAATATATGCTAGCCATCTTAGGAGACAATTTAATATGGCATGTGTTGTTAATACATTGTAATTGCAAGCCCTACACTATTAGGGAATTGTACGTCATTCATGTGAAAGATGTGAAACTTGGTATCTTGTCATTTTTTACAACAGTGCATTGTAAATCTATTGTAATGTTATTGGAAAACTTGAATGAACATTACACATTTGAACAGAAATATGTCAAAATAATTACATTACATTATATATGTCAATTATCATATTGATTTTGAGAATATGAGATGATAATTGCCAAAAAATAAAGATAGCAGTGTAAATCCTACCTTCAATAGACTGTGGTGTTACATGTACATGTAACTTGTAGGTGTAGAAATGCCTAAGAATCTCTTTCTCTTAGCCATCTCATTACGCAATAGCAAATCACTGCGCATGTGCACTTTTAGCTAAATGAAACCATTAGACACACCTTCTCATTAAGTATGCAGAAAGTATGTTTAGTTTCTATTTGTGCAGTTGTTTTACGAAACGAATAGTGGTATAATTTTATATAGCAAGTAAATGTGCTAGCCTACCTACTAATGTCAGACAACTATCAGGATGAGACTGCTAACTTACATAAAAATAAGGTTCACATCATGAAACTTTTATTTAAAGCCTAGAGGTACATTTCTCATCCCTCGATGAAATGAAAGGACCTTAAGGGCCTTTGACTTTTCTTGCAATGTAACTGGTCTGGCATTTTGCTGTATCTGCATATCATGCACTGCATTAGTAAAGATATTTTTAATAATAATGATTTAAATTCAAAAAAAGTAACAATAAAAGGTTATTGATATATGTGTTCTTGTCTGTCTTGAATTTTACTTCAATCATACAGGGAAACATAAAATGGGGAAATATATTATTGACCTTAC